GGTCCAGAGAAGAGCAACCAGGCTGGTGAAGGGACTTGAGCACAAGTCCTGTGAGGAGAGGCTGAGGGAGCTGGGGTTGTTTAGTCTGGAGAAGAGAAGGCTTAGAGGTGACCTCATCACTCTCTACAACTACCTGAAGGGAGGTTATAGCCAGGTGGGGGTTGGTCTCTTCTCCCGGGGAACCAACAATAGGACAAGAGGACATGGGCTCAAGCTCTGCCAGGGGAGGTTTAGGTTGAATGTTAGGAAGAAATTCTTTACAGAGAGGGTGATCAAGCATTGGAACGGCCTGCCCAGAGAGGTGGTGGATTCACCATCCCTGGAGGTTTTTAAAAAGAGATTGGATGTGGCCCTTAGTGCCATGATATAGTAATTGGAGTTGGATCAGGGGTTGGACTTGATGATCTTGGAGGTCTTTTCCAACCCAATCTATTCTATGATTCTATGATTCTAGTACCAAAAATGATAAAACCTTACTACTGAGCTCACAGCAGATTTGCTCTCAGGGTACAGCAGCAAATCTGCTTTGGAGTTTGCACTTAAGACCCCTGTATCAAAGAATTTCCCTGACTACCACTACCACCACACTCACACTGAAAGGTCTGTTTGCAGCAGAAGACTTCAAAACAATTCCTTTTGTCTGTACTATGGGACAGTGTGCCATGCTAATGCAACGTGTCATTCCTTAAAAATTACAGTCGCCTCCAAAGTTATATCAAACATGCTATTTGTCTTAGAATTAGTTGCTGTACTCTCCCTGTTTTTCCTCTGGGTTATTCTTCCTCTTCAAGAAGATTCTCTCTTTTTACTAAGAGGAAACAAAGGATGTGAAAAAAAATTATAAATCAGGAAGTGTATGTAGTCAGTCACATCATCTGCAAAGCCACTGCAGCAGACAGCTTCAGAACTGGAGAAGCAGAATCTATTACCCTCTTCACCACAAAGAGAAAAAAAGCAGAAAGACTGTTTTGCTGAACAAACAGAGAGAATGAAAACTGAGGAGCCTGTTTACTATTTAAGTTCAAGGGAAGCTGCTTGTTTCAAGGCACAAAGCCTGTAAGCACTCTCTTTTCCTCTGAAATAAATATTCTTTCAAGGAACTCTGTTTTTCAAATTACGTATATTTAGATGGGGAAGGATGTTTGGATATGTTTTTACTTATTTTTCCACCTTCACAACCTGTCTTAATACAAATTGGCAAAGTCTACTACACATTTCTTCTTGCTGTTTCAAAACATTTCAATGGGAACATAAACAATGTTTTCATTGCACTTTCCCCTACAATACTTGAAGCAAGTGTTCAGCTGCTATTTTCCCTTGATGTGACCTACATAACAAGAGATCTGCCTCCATAGAGATAACAGTTACAACAGCTGTGGCTGATGAAAAACAATGGAGCTGTTTCATCAAATAGACACGTCTTAAATATTAGATCTGGTTTAATTGGCCTGATTATCTCTTTAAACCAGTATTTGTGATAAATATCAACCCTCCTATCCATCCACCACTAGTATAAATCTATTTAGAAACAAAAGTATTGTTGCAATTTGGCCTCAAACAAAGCAAAGTAATAGAACAAAACATAAGCAGAACACACACAATACAAAGCAATGAAGTCCACAATGCAGGCAAATAACAAGCAAATTACATGTGTTCATCAGTCACTGCTGTACCCTGACCAAGTGCAGCTGCTACAGGTGAACTGGTACCTCACACCCCCACCCCAGTGTGAAGTCAGGCACTCAGAAGGCAGTGTAAGCTGAGGCAGTCCAACAGCGAGACTCCAGCAAAACTGAATCGATACAAATGCCTACCAACCACTAAGTGAAAGGTAGGAAAGAGTGCACTGACTTTGGCAGGGTCTCAGCACACAAGTCCAATTGCACTGTAATTTCCTTTATCAACTTTAAGAACACAGACCTTTAAATCAGTTATTTCACACAGGAAAATAACTTATATATAAAAGAAAGGAAGAGAAAAAGAGAGAGGCCTTAAAAGTAAGCAAGTTCAAAGAGATAAAACACTCTGAAAATTCACCTTTCAGTTTTCCAGGAAAAGTTTAGAACTCGTTAGAATGACCAAATAATGATTACTGCTGAAGTGTAACTTGAAGATTGATTTTATCATCCTGTTGACCTCTTTCTATGTATTTGAAATTAAATTTTTGAGAAAGGAAAATAAAACCTCCAAAGAAACATGGTCTAACAGATACTGGGAGAAAACAAGAAGCAGAAAAGGGACACTGGAAAAGCAGAAGACAGCACTGAACTCACAAAATTCCCTGACAGAGTTCCACTTGAAGCTTTTTTTATACAAGTGGGCTATCCAAAGAAATGAGGAGTGAGACTCATCTAGCTTCTCTAATATCAAGGCATACAGCTGACCTTTTTGTTGTGTTTTGGTCAGGGTTTTCCCTGGAAAGGACATTCATGGGATCTCTCTCAGGCACAGCTGGCAGAGCTGTCTCTTCCAAAAAGACAGCTGATCTCTAGGGCTTCACCTACTTTTCATGTTTCATTAAAAGAAGTTAACAGACACAGAGCATTAAAACCAGACACACAGTCCTACTGTGTATACTCCCTTTTTGGAAGCCAATCCTGGCTACTACTCTCACGTAAATGTAAGAGAACTATTCACTAGTAACTCAAAATTGTCCCGCTGTAGAAGAATGGCTGAATTAACAATGTTTTACAAAACCAAACCTCAGATACCCCAAGATGTTCAAGTTACTTAATTCTAGTGAATGAAAACATTTTTAATCTCAATAAAGTCACTTGAAGTGTTGGCCACAAGAAACCTACAAATATGATACTGCAAGAATGAATTCATTTTCTTTACACCTACCATTTGTAAAACAGCTCAAGTAAGCAAAGCAGGCATGTAATGGTACACAAAGCCTTCTATACCCTCTTATCCTACAGAACTTTCAGAACTACTGCAAAACCTTGGTAATTAAGGTTGACAGGTCTGCAGCTACTATTGTGTCACTCCAATTACTAAAATAAATAAATTCTATGGTGAAATTTAAGAGTGTAAGGGAGTTCCATTTCTTCCTCTCTACCAAGGAGTTCACATCTGATCTCTTTCAGACTTTATTTACTATTATAACTATTTTCATGATTTCCTTTCACACAAGTACATTTTAATATCATGCTTCTACAGACTACTAAACAATGAGAGATCAATTTATTTCCAGATAAAACTAACCAATTTTTCACCTCAATTTTAGAATGAGTTTTAATGCCCAATACAGTCAGTATATTCTGGAATATACCAGAAAGTTCAGCATCCAGTAGAGAAATCTCTCACTACTTTAAGGCACTTAAAAGAAAACAATTGCTATGGCTCTGGTCTTCACCTTCTTCTTTACACAGCCTGGTACATTAAACCATTTTTTGAGTTGAGCAGTTGAACTCCTCTGAGATGATGTGCTTTATATAAGAACACAAATAATAAGATCCCATTAGGTCTTTATTCTGTAAATAAACCAAGACAAAACCAACAATAAACAGGGACCATACACATTTCTCTATCTCACTTTGCAGCAGTGTACTAGTAGGGTACAATAACGTCCTCTAACAGCATGGTTTGCAGACAGGTAAAAAGGCATATATCAAAATAGAACCAAAACTGGAGATTGCAGGACACACATCACAGCGTAGAAATGAGGCCACACCAGTGATGGGAAGGACAGAGCACAATAACGTGCAATTAAAAGCTGAAGTCCTTGAAGTAACTACTAGAGACTGCAGGTAGGGAAAGTAAAAGATGAAAATGGGGTAGTAGCAAGATCTAGGCTCCTGGTCGTATTTGTGAGAGAGGAAAGTGGCAAGAAAAGCATGGAAAATTAAAAATTGTATAATAGAATCTTCTATTTGTAATTATCCCATAAGCAACAGAAAATTCACTTAAGCATTTCCATCATTTAGTTGCAATTCCGTTCAGAAATCTAGGACAAAAAACCCCAAACCAACAAAAAACACACCTAAAACCACAAAAGAAGCAATATTTGTAAATTGACAAGTTGGGGTCTTCAAGTATAAAGCAGGTTCATGAAAACTACATTCAAAACTATTCAACTGCTTCCCAGAAAAGAAAATCTGTAAAACATGAAGTTGAGTCTAAAGTACACAGCTTGTATTTAGATACAACCAGTATCTAAGTTCAGAAGAAGCTATCATTTGTCTAACCTCAAGGTTCATTTTAATCTAAAAAAACATGGCTGCAGCTGTAGGAATCAACAAAAGCCACCACCAAGGGAAAGCAAGAAACAGAAAAACCCAGATTATACTGCAGCAGATTCTGACTGATTCCCTCAAGTGGCCCATGTGACTGCACAACCATTGCCTCCTTGGCAAAAAAAAGTTCCAATTCCATGTTCTCAGCTACTGCTAAGTTTTCCAGCTTATAGGAAAAAGAAATTTAAGTTAACTCAGTCTCTATCAAGCACTGGACTACACAAGGCAAACGTTGAGCAATATTAAACAGTTTTAATTTGCATTTGGGGCCCATACAAGTACTGCTCAAAAATTTAAACACGTGGAAGCAATTAAGGGGACACCACTCTCCTGTTTTCACAAATCTTGTAACAAGCTAGTGGAGTTATCTTAACATGGTAGAGTGATCAAATTACTTGTTTCCTTCTATGTGCTAATTAATTTGCAGTAAAGAAACCAACATGGTTTCAGCAGGCTTCTACAAAATGGCCAAATGTGAAACTTTTCCACCATAAGTGGTCTGATACATGCCTTTATTAAGAGTATTTGAGCCTGGATCTCAAGGCTAGCCATCCTGCTCCTCATTCTCCAGGCCAGGAGATTGCACCTAAGGCAAGAGTTTCATAAAGTTCACAGGATGAAGACAGGATTTTGTGATGTGTATAAAGTCTCTCAGATTACTGATTAACAAGAATATCAAATGAAAAATACACACATTTCTCGATCCAAAGCCTCGGAATATAACCTTAATAAAACCCTCATTACTCTTATCTGGAAAGCAGAAAATCTAATTCAGGACCTTATTGGGGCTTTCTTACACTGCAGACAAGCAGGCACATACTCATCTTGTACCAGCTAGGTATGACTTCTAATTGGGCATTGCCCTCTTGGGCATTAGCATCATTGCCCAAGAGCCAGGGTAGGAAAAAAAGAAAACCCAGCGTAGTAGGCTGGTTACAATTACTATGTTAGAAAGGGGAAACAATATCAGGAGAAGCAGGAGTATTAAAGGCAGGGTTGGTCCTAGATTTCTGCATATACTGCATATTAGTAAACTATTGTGTAGATTAGCACAGGCAATTTAATGATAAAGGAGTAGTTGTGAGCTTTGGTATCTCAAAAGTAACAGGTTTTTTCGAGATTTGAAGGCATGAACACAAAGCCTCACTCATGCATTTTTGAGTGAACTTTTATCCCAAGAAGAAGACGGGCTTACATATGTCAGCCTCCGTTATCCTCAACAAAATGCCACATATTGCTTGAATTCCAGCATTCCCAGTAAGAACTACTTAATTATTCAAAAACATTAAAAAGCAGTTTGCTACAAAATGTATGCCATCCCCACGCTATTTTCTAACTTCGCTGTAGCACAAGCTTGTCATCACTCTCGAGCTCACACATCCTTCTGCAGGGTTCATGTTGAAAGGAACTACTAAGAGAGATAGTGAATACTTTTTTCCTACATCTCTGTGCCATGCCCGTAGCACCAGTTAGTTCTCTAATCGCAAGCTTGCGGACACTGGATCAAAACCACCCACACCATCTGGCACGAAGTGCACAGAGAGGAGAGAGGGGAAGGCTTCACGACAGCCCCCCAAAACCAAATGCACCTTACGCTTGTGCCCAAGCATCTGAAGCACATCCGTACCATCGAACCCCTCTCCCCTGCAAACCTGCGGCAGCACTACAGGGTACTACAGGAGCGGCCACAACCCCCCACATGGCACGTTTGGCTCTCTGTGCCTTTTCTGAGAGCCAGGACGGAACAGAACGGCAACAAAAGCAACGAGCCCTTCCACGCACACACGGCCGCAGGCGCTGCCGCCGGCCAGAGAAGGGGCAGGGCGGGCACCAGCCCGGGAACAGCCCCGTCCCTGCCTCTGCCCCGGGGCACGGCGCGCCCGGACCCACCGCCGGCCTCAGTCCCCCTCCCCGCACCCGGCTCGGCCGCCCGGGACGCGCCTCCGCAGCCGCCCCGGAGCCCCCGGCGCTCACCTTTGCAGACAGGGGAGCTGGGGCTCTTCCTCTCGGGGGAGCTCCTTCCCGGCTCCGGCGACTGCCGCCGGTGGTGCCGGACCCTGCCCTCCGGCAGCGGGGACACGGGCGATGAGCACGGCGAGGGCCCGCAGCCCGGCGGCGGCGGCGGGGGTGGCGGCGGCAGGTGGTGGTGCCGCGGGGGGCTGCCCCGTGCCCCGCCATGGCCACGCGTGGGGCTGCCCCGCGAGGAGGCGGCGGCGGCGCTGCCCCCCGCTCCCCCCGGCGGGGCCGTGGCGGGGCCGCCGCGGCCGCCGCTGCCGGGGGGGGCCGCGCGTGGGAGCCCCGCGCCCGGGCCGCCGCCGCTCCTCGTGGGGCTGCCATGTTGTTGCTGCTGCTGCTGCTGCTGCTTGAGCTGGAAGGGCACCGTGGCCCGCATGGGCTGGAGGCGGCTGCTCGCTCCCGCTCCGCCGCCGCCCGCCGCCGCCGCCGCGCCGCCTGCCCCCGCTAGGGAGGTGGCGGGGGTCGGGGAGCCGCCGCGCCTCACGCGCTGGTGGGACATTGTCCGTCGGGAGCCGGGGCTGGCGGACGGCGGCCTGAGGTGGGGAAGGGAGGGAAGGGTGAGAGGCGCGGGCTGCTCCTCGCGGGGGTCCAACGCCTCAGGCGGCGGCGGCCACAGCCGCGTCCCAGTTCCCCTCCCGGTGCCGTCCCCTCCGCGCCGCTGCGCCCGCAGCCTCCGTGCGCCTCATCAACAATAGTGCCCCGGCCGCGCGCCCCGCCCACCGCGCCCTCCCATTGGGTGCGGCGCCGCTCGGCTCGCGCAGCTACGGTGCGCCCATTGGCTGCGGGGCGCGCGCCTGAGTGGCCGGGCTCGCGCGGGGGCCGCGGGGGGGCCGCGCGTACTCAGGCGCACGCGGGCGGCGGCGGGGCCGCGCGCTGCCCCCGGCACGTGCCGCGGGGGGACCCCGGGAACAGACTGGGAGTAGACCGGGAACAGCCCGGGAACGGCCTGGGCAGGGCCTGCCCCGACCCCACCGCCCCCCACCTCAGGCTAGACCCCCATCTCGCCCCCGGGGGCGCGGCGGGCGCAAGGACGTGCCCGGGGGTCCCCGGGACTGCCTCTCGGCTCCCCGCGTCCCGCCGGGGTGCCCACGGCCACGTGGAATGCTGGAAACCGGCAGGGGTGTCGGCTGCGGCTCAGCCGTGCCTCGGTCCCGTTCCAAGGGACCATTATTCCTATTCTGCTCCATTATCCCTATCCCTAGATACACTCTGGGAGAGGACGGGGCTCCGCAGCGGTTTATCCAATCGCTTTGCCACCCGCTCGGCGTTACCGATGATGGCACCAGAGACGTGGGCAATATCCAGGCAGACTTGACCCCCTTTCCCCTTAATTGCTGTGTTTACTCTTTTTCCATTAGGTTAGATTGGTTGCATCTTCACTGTAATCTTTTAAAAATACTTGTTAACCGCCGGCATCCTCTTAACCCGATTTATACATCAGGGCAGGGAATACATGCATGGAACAGGCCTTGGGTGTTTGGCTTATTTAAATGCAAGGTAAACACAAGTTAGTACCCTTAAGAAAGAATCAGTAAATCTTTTTTCTGTCTTTATTGCAAATGCCCGTTCTGAGCTACCAGAATTTGCCCAAATTCTTTTCAATATTGCTCTACAAGTTGCATGTTGCAATTGAATACCATTGCTATGATACAAATGGTGTGACAACAGATTACATACTGTTCTCTGTTCTTCAGCTTGGTTGTGCTTGGGTTTGGTTTTTTTCCCCCTTTCCTTTCTCCTTTGCTGTTTCTGACTGAAGCATACCTCACTTAAAAAGCCCCACTTCCCCTTTGAGGAGCTCCATCCTTGTGCTGACAAGTTCAACAAACCTGAAAAGCAAGCCTATGATGTGCACAGGCCCTTCTCAAGGATGCCTGGGCATTGGCCTACCTAAAGCCTCGAAGGTTAAAGCTCTTGTCAGAGTTGAGAGCCTTTTATGAGAAATCAGACTGGTGAAAGAGAACAGGACATATGTGTTTCTAGTGATGAGGTTGTTGAGAAGTAACAGCATTACATTCTTACATTCTGAATTAATAAATTTATTTTGAAGCGCATTATTTACAGGTACTGTAAATTCTAGTAATATGGCTTGAAGGGCAGCTGGATGGGTCAGTCAGAACTGGCTACAAGAGGCTGCGCCCAGTCTTTAGAATTATCGTGGGCTACCCCTCAAAGTGGCTGCCAAGGGAAGGTACCAAAAGCCTGGCAGGTCACCATCAGTCCTATTGTATCCCTTTATTCAATTGTGCAATTTACTTAAATGGCCTTATAAATTACATGGAGGGCCACTTCCCAGTCCTTTTCTTGTATCCATCACAAGCATGGCTGATACAATGTGGCAAAGCATCAAAACCCCAGATAACACACTTAATTAATGGAATACCTGGGAGACTGAGCTCTCCTCACCAGGAATGGCTGAGCCGCAAAGAACAGCACAGGCTGTGCACTGCTGTCATTGGAGGTGAAGGGATCTCCTAATTCCCTCAGTGACTCCATGTATATATTGAAAAAGAGAACATGAGCTTCACAGCTCTCCAAAGGTAAATGCCCAGGAGGTAGAGAACCAGCAGCTGGCATGTCTGGAGAAATAAATGGAACCTGTCTGCTGCTTTATCCTTCAGGAGTTGCTGTGACTCATCTGTGGGGCAACACAGCAAAAGAAGTTTTTGAGAAGGGGAAGAAAATAGTCTGAGTCCTTCTGAAAGCCAGTTTTGCCGTAACACAAAGTAAGGTCAATGGACCTGCACAGGAGAAGTTTTTAGGAATTAAATGGCAAGATGGATGTTGTCAGATCCCAAGGGATGTGATCGACAAAATAACAGCTATGTCTCTACCAACTACCAAAATACCACAGCCAGGGAGAACAGCTCTACCTGGAGCCTCTGGCAGAGAGCACCAGGGGAGACTCGAAGTCACTTACAGGGTTTTGGAGTCGTGGATAGAGAGGATCCAAGGCCTGCAATGTTGGCAGAATGTGAAGGGGTTCGAGGCACCTCAGCAGTGACTGGTACTGAAGCACAGCTCCTCCTGGCACCCCGACTGCTGGTGTGGGGCTGGGTGTCCCCTCTACAGTCCATGCAGCATCAGCTGCATGATGTTTAGTGAGTCACACTGATCACAAAACAAGGTTGAATAGAAAACTCCAATCACCCAGGAATTTTGGAAGTGATCATGAGCTGGCCAGAAAGCAAAGATTTCAGAATACTGTGAAGGAGGAGGTGGCACGTGCTGAAGAAGCTCCACTGTGTAATGAATTACCAGAAAACAAGAAGCCACGTGAACTGCTCACTGATGGAAAGCTGCTGTGTGGAGCCTCACACTGCAAGCTGCAGAAATTGCTGAAGGTCACGGTGAATCGGGTCAGGTTGCAGAGGTGAAAGTATCCAGGTGGCTTTAGACATGGCAGAAGGAGAAACATTTCTGTACTGACTCGTGGATGGTGGCAAATGCTCTCCAGGGGTGGCTGCAGCGATGGGAGCAGAGCAACTGGCAGGGCAGGGGAAAACCCAGCTGGGCTGCTGAACTCTGGCAAGATACTGCTGCTTGTAAAGGTATGTTGGGCCACTGAAGAACAACAACAGGCTGCTAAGATTGGAGTGGTTCAGGTGGATCTGCACTGGCAACATAAGGGTGAATTATTTATTCAGGGACTGGCTGGGCATTGGCTGGCAGGTGCATCACTTGTTTTGTATATACTTCTATTATTATTAATAATCTGTCCTAATAAACTCCATCTCAAACCACAAATTCTACTTTTCACCCCAGTTCACTTCCCCGACCCCACGGGGGGAGGGCAAGGGAGAGAGCAGCTGTGTAGTGTTAACCTGCCAGCTGCCTGACAGGTTAAACTGCAACAGCAGCCCAGAACAGCAAACAGTTATCCTGAAGCAGGTTAATTTATGCAGCATTTGTTTCACTTCTTTGCTGTAATTGTCACTCAAGAGCAGAAGACGGAGTTCTTCCTGCTGTGACAGCACCCAGTGCCAGTAGATTTGTGCAGCAGACTTTCATCCCTTGGACAATTTATCCTCCCCAGAAATACTGGGAAGCACTATTTCCAAGTACTTGGAAGCAGTGTGCCATAAAGATACTTCCAAGGCATAAAATATTCTGGATGCATTCTTACTCCTGCTACTCCTTTGAAGAGGCCAAAAACGACAGGTATTGATTAACATTTATTTTCATGATGCACGTTACGGAGCTGAGTCACGACTTTGAACGCAGAAGATACCTGTACTTCCCACATTATTGTCACACTGCAAAGATGACACTGCTCCACACAGCTGCTGTGAGAATATAAAGCACAGCGTTTATGGGTAGTGCTCATCAGCAGTTGTATCGCTCTACACGCAGCAGATGTGAGAGCTCAACATGTAAAGTCATGTACTCCGACCTAGTCAAACACCGTGTACTTGGTACGTTCATTTGTTTAAACTGTAACAAATGTGTTACAACAGGATTTTACTCCTACACCTTATGGAAATAATGAAAAGAGCTAAAGCAGGATTATGAACTTGAAAATAGTTTTGAAACGTCTTTTCAATTACAAAAAAAAAATTCCTCAAAACAAAACTCCAGCCCCAAACAACTTAGTTCCAGATCCCCCAGACTCTCCTTGTAATTCCCACCTCTCAAGCTCTGGGTTTTTTTTTAGCCATCACCTTCCTTTCTGCCTGCAGACTTTGCCAAATGCTGTCCAGGCTAAGTTTGAGCAACATATTTCATACGGTTCCGTGTGGAACCTTTTGGGCTGGGTTTGTTCAAATCCATGACACATTCACTCTGGCTTTGGAGGCTCTCAGCACCCAACCAGAGTCCTGCCAAAAGGTGCTGCTTTGTAGTCAGTGCTGGGAGATTAAATCCGGGTATGGCAGACATCCCCTTATGTGCAAGGTGCTGGCTCTTTCCTAAAATATGGTGTGTGGTAAGCGCTGTAGATACAAACAAATCAATCCAAAGGCTGGAAGTATATAGAGTGCCCTCAAGGGCAGACTGATCCAACACGGAGAGCTGCAGAAACAAATCTGTGACCTGCTGAAAGCAGGGATGTAAACAAATCTGAGAACTGGTCAACCGAAAACTGGTCAGCTGGTAACCCCAAATAAAAAGCAGACAAACAAGGGTCAAAGGGGTTTAACCAAGTTGATAGGCCCAAATCCCACTGCATAGTTAGTAAAAACCCTAAGATTTAGGGAGTTTCCTTGTACTAAGGACTGAAAATGTCTGAGTAGTACTGCTCACTGATCATAATATACATGAAAAATGTTGTTAAAATAATAGTAATAATAGTAAACCTTACAGAAAATTACTGTGCTTCAAGCAGCTTCAAATATGTTATCATCTTATTCCAAAATTAAATAAAATGCAAAGCAGCACATGTAGAGGAACAATCTACTGACTGAAATTGTTTTTCTACCTACAGTTGTTGCTAGCAATATTGAAGGTTGAAAGACTAAAGATTCTGGGAGTCTAATCTAAACATTAGATTATGCCCCAGGATATTTCACTGCATTTCTCATCTCTCCCCTGCAGAGTGAGTTTGCTTTGCTTGTTTCTGTGGGTGTTCAACATCAACTGTAGAAAAAGATATTTTAAAAAATAGGACAAATATAATAGAATTTGCTTTACACAAAACCTGTAAGA